TGAGGTATCCAACAAGTTAGGAATTAGGAAAAAGAAGCAGGTCCATGCTTCCCTCTCACTACCTGGTGAAAGGCCTCGAGCTCATCTAAACTTATTGTGTTGCTTAATAATCACCCTATGAACACCCTAATGCTCAATGAACATTGATTTCCTAATTATCCCTAAGAGTAGGGTAATTATCATTTGTAATTTAATTTGAAGGTTATATGAGTGAAGACCCTTAAAGGGGGGCAAGTTAGTGTTGTTGGAACACTTAGCCAAATTTTAATCCTAACTGGGCTTTTAGTGTCTCAAAAGGTGTTAAATTTTAGATATTTTAGCTCTCCTAATCCTCATTTAATCAGTCTTGATTTAACTTAGATCATTACTCAGCCCATAAGACCTAGGTGAATGTCTTAATAAATTTGAAAAGGTTAAATTTTAGGTGATCATGATTAAATTTCATTTGAAAATCAAATAGGGGTATTAAATTGATTAAATATTGACCTCAAAAGTCATATCCCTAAGTCCTACGTTCATTTAATTTTAATAAACTTCCCAATTTTAGTAATTTAGAAATTTATTAATTTTAGAAATTTATTAATTTGTCCTTTTAATTAGGAAACTGAGGTTGGTTTCTACCAATTAATCCCCTTTCTAATTTCAGTCATCCAAATAAGTTAATTAAGATCACAGGTTGCCCATTTTCCTCCTTGAATTAAGCCTAAATGTTAATTAAGGCCAAATTCCTGAAATTACACTTTTGCCCCTAAGGCTCTAACACTTCATAATTTGTCAAATTCAAATCAAATGACTTTGAATTTTTTATCCTTCTCATTCATGGGTCAATTAAGACATCAGAGGAGAAAATTTAATTTTTCAACATTTAATTTAATCTATATAACTATTTTTATGCAAAAATGGGATTTTTCAAAGAAAATTTGCTAACTTATCCAAGGTGAAGCCTAATCACCAGAAACTTTTACTGGAGGTAAACTTAGATCAGAGAACCATTCGTAATAAATTTCATGATTTTTTGAATTTAATTTGAATTATTAGAATTATTTTAAATTCTAGGGCATTAATAAAATATAAAATATTTTAAAAGGGGAAACTTAAGTTTTGTATTTTTGAAAAATCTCCTTGAGATTAGAGAACCCAAGGAAGCAAATTTTATATTTTTTTGACATTTTTATGATTTTTCTTTGATTTATTGAAATTATTTTAGTGGAAATCCATTTTTTAGCCTTTAAAAATTATTTTAAGCTTCAAAATACAATATTTTTATTTAGAAAATTAGGAAAAATATTCTAATTATTTCTAAGTTCTTAGAAAAAAATTTAGAACGTTCCCATGAATTTTAATATTTTTGTGATTTTAATGAATTTTTAATTATTTTGAATATTTAAAAATATGCTAAAAATGAAGTTTTTATCTTAAACTCCATTTTAATTTTATAAAATTCCCTTAATCATGGAGAACTCAAAAAATAAGTTTTCATAATTTTTTGAGTTATATTTTGATCATTAAAAATTATTTTAGTGCAAAAAAGATATTTAACTTGGAAAATCAATTTAGGTCATCAAATGGACTCAAAATACTTTGAAATTTTTATGTGGAGTTCTCTGGATCTTAGAAAATAGTGGAGATAAAAAATCAAGTCATTTTGATGTTTGTATTTTCCAAAATTAATTATCTGAGTGATTTAGGGTTTAAGCAAATTAGGTTTACTTTGAATGACTTGACTCATGAGAAATTTTCTTAAGAGTTCTCTGGTCATGGTGAACCTAGCAAAATTTACTTTGATTTTTCTAAGCAATGTGCTGATTATTATGATTAATTTAAGAAAATAATGTACATAAACCCTAGAAATATAGATCTCTGTCTAGAAGTCTTCTCTGACACTAGAAAAATTAGAGAATGTTTCCCCTAACAGAGGCTACAACATGCCAAAATTTCAAGCCATGGTGAAATGCCTATATGCATGGAGAATCAAAAGGCTCAAAACAGTGTTTAATTAATTAAAAATAAAATATGTATCAAATGGACTTCAAATTACATTGTTTTCCTCTGTTCATTGAGCAAGAG